ATTGTCTGCTATAGATAAAGAAAAACCTTTTATTGTTAGTGGCAGTGAAGACGGCTGTATTTACTTCTGGGATGTTTTGGCCGCAGCCAGAGCTGTACATACACCCCAACAAGGTGTATGGGGGCGGGCGCATGAGGCGCCCGCACTCATAGTGAAAACAGATACTCTGTCGCAGCGGCTGTGTACAGCAGCAACAGATGGAATCGTTAAACTATGGAGGCAGCTCTAGCGCTGCAGCAGCAGCAGCAGCAGAAGCTGCAGCAAGTGTGCAAGCAGAGGCAGAAACAGCAGCAGCAGCAGCAGGTGGAGAACGTGGAGGAGCAGCAACAGCTTGACTGCAGTAGAGGCAGCAGCAGCAGCAGCAGCAGCAGCAGCAGCAGATCTAGCGAATACTGCTCAACAAAGGAAAGTAATGAGACCTGCGTCGAAGATAAAACAAATACGCAAATTAAATAAATACAGAAAGACAGAAGAAGACGAGGAGCAGAAGGGAAGGGGGTGGGTTTGGGGGTTTTATAAATATGTTTTTCTTGCTTTCTATTTATTCATTTTTTTGTTGCGTTAACTTTTATTTCCTCTGAAAGCTTTATTTATTTATTCATTTACTTTGTTGTTTGTTATACAAACACTATTTTATTTTTTTCTCAGTTTGGCTATTTCACTAGTTTGTTACTTATTGTAGAGAGCTCGGCCGCACCGGCGCACGGGTACAGTATAGTATAAAAATAATAATAATACATTAAATTAAACGGCTTAATTTAAATATAAATTTGTGTTTATTTTTTTAAACAAACGAATGAGGAGAGTGAAACGGCAGAAACGAGCGTCTGTCGTCTGAACCGTTGCTGGTCGTGGTCGATGCTGCGCTCGAGGGTACTAACCCCAAGAAATGATGCACCGTTTAACGCGGAAACTGCCAAAATATTTGTAAAATAATAAAAAAAATAAATATAAAACAACTCCGTCAAAAAAAAACTGAAATTATTCATGGTTTCGTCGCTTTTTGGCTTGCTGGTGCCGCCGCCGACTCGAACCGGTCGGTCGCTGGTCACTACCCTCATCGGCTACCGCAGTTCAGGTTTTTTGTGTTTCTTTTTCTGTATTTTTGTTTCTTTTTGAATTTAATTTGTTTATGTGTCTGATCATCAAAGCTGAGTTTTATTTTTATGTGATATTTCCTCAGCTTTCCGGTGTTTTCGTGCGCCGTAGACTCGACACCTGGACGCCCGCCGCCCCGCTTGCAATTCCTCTTTCTTGCGAAACCCAAGCGGAAACCGGAGAAGAAAAGCACTTCTTCTGTTGAATTTAATTATTTTATTTGAATATAAACAACAATTTACTCTTTTTTTAGGTTAAATCCGCAGAGTTCGCTCGAGGTATTTCGATTGCAAGGTCGGCGGTGGTGAGCCACCACCACAGCCGTGGTCACCGCATCGTATCTCTGCTGTTTCGCCTTCATCAAACCAAAAATTTTTATTAAAAAGGAATAAACGTAAAGTATTTAAATAAAATAAAACGAATTAAGCAGTTGAAGGCGAAATACATCGCAAAACACCCAGCAGCCACCGCCGCTGCTGCTGCATCGCCT